TGATTTAAAAATCGGCCATGGCAGTTCCTTATTTTTGTTTACACCATCTTTAAGAAAAATAATCATCCGTGTTTTCATTGCGCTCTATGACTCTCTTTCTCACAACATTTACCCCTTGGTGTTCAAGCACTTAAGTATGGCAATATTTTCCGTGATATTTCGAGGACGTATTTCCCCTGTCACTTGGGTATCAAGTGCAGGCCCAAATGTCAAGCTCTTAAGAACGAAGTGAGACCCAACACAAACAGTTTACATGCTTTCTAGCTTACGGTCTTCCGTTTGATGTAACCCAACCCCTTATCCCAGCAAGTTGTTCCCTCAGTAATTCCCATCCTGAAATCCTCATCTTAAATCATTATCCTGTTTGAGAAATTATCACCCGAATCCCCTGTGGGACATTCACTTTCTCAAGTTCTTCTCTCTCGGCAGTGGAGTCGTTTTGGGAACGTTTAAACGGCGTGAGGTACCCCTTAGGCCCCGCTTCCTAACGGCTACACCTGATACGGTATTTCGTCAATATACGTAAGGAAAATGTGGCACGCTTTTCCGTCGCGAGTCGCCCGAGACATGCAATGTTTTTCCGATGCTGATAGTTACTCCATTAACACTCACTTAGCACGCGCCAGCCGAGAATTCTACGTCCAAAGCAGACGAGATTTATAACCCTTCTTAACGACCGTTCACACTGCCTCATTTTCATCTTGCATTTCTTCATGCGCTCTGTGTCTGCTTAACAATAACCAAAATCGAATTGCAATATGACGGACGAATTGTGCATGCGAATAAAGGGGGGCCCGTGCTATGAGAGAGAAATGGTAAGCAATGGAAATGACACCTTTCTCTAGAGAGGTAGGCATCAGAAACAAAAACACGAGATTAATAGTGTTTAGCCCGGGTCGGAGTGCTTTCTCACTCTCCCTTCGGTCTACCAGAGGGTCTAAGATGTCTCGTCTATTTCCCCATGGGGGAAATAAGATTGACACAAGACTCGAGAAAAAAATATGGGCGTTTATCTTACATGATAGAGACGGGAGAGGGATAAATACTGGAGGAGATTATGGGAGAGGAAGAGAGAGCGAATTTACGAGGAATATTTATGACGAGAAAAGCAGAAAGCGCTGTTGGGAAAGAAGAGCTCTGTTTTTATAATTTTATAAGAGTATTGTTTTGCGAAGAGAAAAACTGATAATGTAAAAGAGTAGAGTCTTTCCAAGAGGGATTTGAGCATCCAGATTTACAATGATGGGTTAAAAAGTTTGGACCACATTAATGACTGGAATTAATAATTAAGATAATAACAAAATTTGAAGAAAAAGAAAGCAGAACATATCAAATACTAAGATATGCGAAAATTAACATAAGAAATTAAATTTACACATTATTTTATGAAAAGAGCAGGTCTTTCATTCATGGGTCCAGCAAAAGATGAGAATACTTTTGTTTTTACTTATACGTGTAACTTACAAAGGTGAATGAAGACGAATAATGATGAGAGAGAAAAAAAAGAGTAAAACTCTGCAACGTCTTACAACCGAGATCGAAATATTATAAACCTGATTAAAATGCATTTGATGTGTGGGATAAGCTATTGAAATATTATCCCTTTTGTTTAAAGGGTAATGCAAAATGTATCAGGAAAAATGTGTAAGAGAGAGAGAGAGAGAGAGAGAGAGAGGTGGGAGAAGAGAGAGAAAGACAGAGAGACAGAGATACATAGACACATAGAGAGAGAGAGAGAGAAAGAGAGAGAGTGAAGGAGGAGGAGAAGGGACATCTTGAATTATACAAATGTGTTGGACAGAGATTTTCTTTTTATCATGCTTTGCAAGGAAGTCTCGTTTTCTATGACGGAAATAGGTTGCGGATGAATGGCATTCAAGAAATAATAGCTCCTCGACAACCCCCAAAGAGCGTCTTATTTTATCATAAAAAATGTTTTAAAAGAGAAAACAAGGATAAGTCCATCTCCGCTAGCCGAAAACTCCCGAGTGGGGGAGAAGGAGCTAGCGAGTTTAACCCAGAGTGACGGGCCGGGACGCTCCGGGGCACTCTCACACGGCTAATGTTACCACTTTTTCCTCCAACTCTTCTCTTCTTCCCCCTATTATTTTCCTCCGGACATGGTGACACGTGAGGCAAGTCGCGTCAGGGGCTTGCCGCCTTCTCGCTCGTGCCGCTTCGCCGTGATGGACGGCATCCATTAGTGGTCGAGATGGGTAGGGCTATAAAAGCCAGACATAGTCATCATAGCTTCACTGTTTAATGCGTGTTTATTTCTCTAAGCGATATTTGGAAGCAGGAAGGAAAGAGAGGGGAAAAAAAGGTTTTGATATAAAATTAGATCTAACAGGGAAATGTTACTGTAGAGTTTTATTACCGATAGAATTATTGCCTCTCATAGATTCGTGTGAATGTGAACACGCACACCATCACTAGATTTTTACGAGTCTAATATTTTATCTGATATCCTATTTCTTGTTGTCGTTGTTCTTTATTGATTATTCCTTGTTTTTTAAATCTAAATACCATTGCAACGGGATAACTGGTGATTTAAAATCAAATTGTCGAAAATATTTATTTTTCACCGATCACTTCATTTCCAAAATAACATTGTTTATATTTTATGACTAAAAGGTAACTCTATATTTTCTTTTTCAAATTTTACAATCACCATGATAACCAAAGTAATACGAATCGCAATGACGAGGATCTTCAAGACGATGCAATAATCAAATTAGAAAGAAGAGTCAGTCTATTTCAAATCATGTATGATATATGCCCAGGGTAATGGCATTTTAATTTGCTCACAAACCGGATACTTCCTAAATTTAATTTCATTCCATTCTTTTGAGGACATGCAGCATTGCTTTACCACTTTCGCTTTTTTCATTAAATCCGTTTTAAAAGCCACTTTTAATATTTTGATTTCGTGATGATCAACCCTAATTTTGTACGGGCAACATTTTTCCGGGCCTTGTTCCGTCGAAGATAAAGCATCAGGATTGAAGTCGCTACTTTATGTTTAGGTTAGTTTTAGGGTTAGAGTCATAGGTAGGCCTATAGTTCTGGCTTACCGAGGTCAAAGAAGTGCAACTATATTTTAGGAAATTGGCCAGCGCGAAGTGAATGTTGCTAGAGCATGAATCAGGCAAGTGATGAAACGAAAAAGAGGGGACGCACGTCAACTGATAGATGAGCAAAGAATGTAAAGAGATTTGGTGTAAGATTGGACGTCATCGTCGCTCTATATCTAATATAAAATCATAACTCCCATGTTCAGGTCAGGAAATGAATATCTCCCCATTATATCAATTCTGACCGGAACAGTATGGCAAGCACACGACCGCCCGAAATGGATACCCCTATAGCACACGCGATAGTTTATATCGCACACGTCTTGGAGACACAAATACAAGTAGCATTAAGATGTAAACAATGCATTAGCGCGCTTCTCCCCTGGCCCAATTTATTTCGTAAATGTGCTTGTCAGCTTCTTATTTGCATCCGCCAAAGTGCGATCATTTAACCGTGCAGGGAAGTGTTGAGAGAACGAGGGTCTATAAATTTCAGCTTAAGCCTTCCAGGTAGGAGTGGGGGAAAAGAGCGATTATGCACGATTTCTTACATTTAGAGCGAATGTAGAAGTTCAAACTGAACATAAGTAAGGACAACATTTGCACCTTATGCCGTGGAGAAGGGCATTGTTTTTCTTATATTGCCATCTGACTATAGAAGTAGAGTTCATCATGTTAGTATGTGACCAAGGTCGGAAACCACACTCATTAAAGGCATCGTTTAACAATGTTAAATCTGAGATGCATGGCCCTGTGACTTGTGATCAGTGTCTGTGATATGGTGTAATAATTGCGCTTCAAAATGATCATCAAGTGCCTCCCAAAAGTAAAAAAATCTTTGAGTGACCAGTTTTACCATACTCATTTTCCCCAATAGACTGTAGTGTTATAAACACCGTTAGGAAAACGAAAAATGAAATTTCGATTTTCAATCATAAATATCTTGATAATGAGACAGGCGATCGGCTTGTAAAAGTCATGGGATTCATGTCTTACCCATGACTGACCTAAAGGTTTATAACTATGATTGCAGCATGAGCTGAATCCAAGATTTTGTTATAGAATCTGAGGCAATGTTACCGAGTCAATTTAAAATGAAAATCTTCCCATACATTTTACATTCTGCTATGTACTGGCCTATACGCGCAAAGTACATAGCAGAAGCTGTCAGGGTTATTGTGAAGTTTGTCCAGTGCTTTATTGAGTATTACCCCGATTCTTACCCAAATGTTCTTATTAACAAGTTTATTTAACCTGTGTATTACAATCTTATTCTTTTAGAGCACTTGCTCATATACAACAGAAACAATCTCCCGGTTGCTTCGATGACTGTAATATTAAAAATTTTAAAGCTTCTTCATCAAATTAAAATGTGCCCAATTCTCTCAGTAATTCCGTTTTCGGCATTCTCGAAGTTCGAATATTCCATATGCATGATGGAGTTATATGGACATGATGTGCATCTCCCGACTCTACGTGTAATTTTGGTTATATCAATCGATAGACAATCTATTTGACCCATAACAAAATCATTGAAGACTTTTGAAATTGCTCGTCAGGCTTTCACCGATTTAAATAATTTTTTTCCCCTTAAAATTTCATTTAATTCCCCTTAGTTTGATATTTTTTCGTTATCAGATGTAGTTGTATTAATTCATTTGACCTGGCATTAGGAATGTTATGAAAATCCACAAAACATACATACATATATCTCGAAATAATTTGTCGTTAAGAATAATAATTTAAAAACGTTCGTGTTTAACCTATAGTAATTTCTTATAATAGCGAACGGTGTCAAACATTCTATAACCCACTGTTTGCGTGCGTGTATAATAATTAAAGGACTTTAAAATCGTTGTTCGAGCTAGTGATCAATCTAACATATCCCTCTCCCTCTCTTTCTCTCTCTTTCTCTCCACCCTACAGGTCTGGTTTCAGAACCGCAGAGCCAAGTGGAAGAAGCGCAAGAAGACCACGAACGTGTTCCGTACCCCAGGGGCTCTCCTACCGTCTCACCACGGACTCGCCCAGTTTCCCTCACCGATGAACGACTCCTTCTGCAATTTCCACGGCCAGGACACACGGGGCTGGCCGGCGATGTCGGGTATGACCACGCACATGGCACCGCATATGACCACGCATATGCCCTCGCATCAAATGTCCCAGATGGGTGGAGGACCAGGGACGTCGCTGGCTCTGCCCCCGTCCTTACCGCGCCAAGGTTTAGGCCAGAGCATGCAGCAGCAGAGCGTCAACTGTTCCATGGGTCAGACCACCGGTCTCAATACGCTCTCGATGGGGGCCAACGGTTCCATGGGGTCGATGACGTCGATGTATCAACCTTCGCTGCAAGGAATGACCACGGGAAGCATGTCCAGCGGCTTGTCCAGTCCGTCCCCGCCCAATCTCCCCGTGACCGACGGCTCGACCGATCTCTCATGCAGTGTTTCAGATGCTGGTGATATGTGGAGGGGTACAAGCATAGCATCATTACGCAGGAAAGCTCTCGAGCACGCCGCCTCCCTCAATGGAATCTTTAGATGATTTTCTTACCGCGAAAAATTAAAAATTTAAGTTCATCCGTCACATGCGTTTCAACGTATGCTTTGGCAAAAAGAGGCTGTACAAATTTCTTATCGTTATTTATTACATTCTGCAGTGACTATGTATGATATCAGATTAGAAAGAAATAGAATGTCGTCCAATTCACCCTTCAGCTGAGAAAGGACTCAAAAGAAATGCATTTCTGCTGAATTGGAGCGACATTGATTGTGTGAATTATGTTACATGGCTCATTTCTGCTTAGCATTGACAGGTAAAAATGAATTAGAATAATGTAACATCCTCATAAACATCTTCAGTTTATGTTTAAAGCAGATTCGTCTCTAGAATATAACTCTTTGAACATACTTTTTAAAAAGGTAACCTTTTATTTGAAACATTTTCCCTCGGATCTTTTTAGAGTACATTTGGACAGGGTATGAGCGTATTCAGAAAGGAAGGGTAATTTCGAAATATAAGTATCCTTTCTGACTGTATAAATATTTATACCACTCTTCACAAGAAAATGATATTATTACCGATCATACCCATTACACATGAGTACCACATGATGGGACAGAGTCCATATTCACTTTATGTTTCTCCTCGCCGTTGCCACTCAGGCAATTTACTCCTCTTAGATAAGGGGATAAATCAAGCTAAAATATTGTTATTGTCAGATTGCTTAATATGGCGGGAATCGCATGAAACATGGAGCATTCAAGGAGCCCAAGGGGACGATTTTATTCACAGGCGCATTCACAAATGTGCTGAAAGAACTTCCCTCACACAAAAAAGGCGGTAAAAATGGGGCATAAATTCTCGCCGCGAAAAACCTCGTAAATTATGTTGCCGCTTAATGGGTGAGCTTGTTTTCATGTCATGGCCATATTTCATCACTCGGTAGAATCACAGAGATATGGATGCCAGCTCGTAACACTGGTATACTCATCCAGATCGGTGTGTGATATACATTATGTGGGTGTGTCATGTTTGTGTTACGAACAAAAATAGAGACGCGGTGAAAAAACACGGTCTGACACTGCTCAATACCTACTCCTTCTACACAATCATTGCTCAAAGTTTTCATGTCGGTTCCAAACTGTTATGACAATATCTAAATTTGGCAGCATATGGATTATCTTACTTAATACAAAGAGAAAACAAAATATAAATAACTGGAATTCAGAACAAAATACTACATTCGATGCGCCCTTTGTCATTCATTACTACAAATTTGTCTATTTAAACCCTATGTAAAATGTATAGAATTGTTCCTAAAAGGGATATGGTGGTCAGGTTTATTTTACCAGCCGCTACGCTGAATCATATCCTTCGCTTGGGATGGCTTCCTTCTCCCGTAGTAAAGGGGTATAATACTGAGAGTAAACAATCATCACATTCACAATGCGTCCATGTAAATTATTAAGTAGAATACAGATATGTCTGAGGCTCAATAATCGTCACAAACTTCAAAAAGTGTGGTTGTTATTTATAAGAAATGATGCGATAAAATAATGATCTTCGTATCAGTATGAGAGAAGAATAACTACAGTCAAGAGATCAAAATAAATATATAATGATGCTATTCAATGTGAATTGCACATTTCCTCCAAATCTAATCTTCAAAGACCAACCTTGAGAAGTAACTGCTTATGGTTTCTGAATTTTTCATTTGCTTTTAACTTCAAAACACTGCCCGTAGTTTTCAAGTTCTCTGAGCTATGTCGTAATGTATATGTATAGTCCACATACTCGAGATTTACCTTTTGAAGAAGAAAAAAAAAAGGGAGAAAGAGTATGCTTGTTGTTTTTCCCTGTACGGGTGTTATTGATGGATTAGATCAATTCATCATTACTGACTTCATGTATGTATATAAATGGATTTACAGTTGAAATGTTTATTGAGAAAAACAGTGCCCATACCAATGGCCGGTTTTGAAATGTGCACATAACTTTTATGAAGATGAATGTACAGATAAGATGAAAATAAATCGGTGGAAATGGAGACTGGTTGTGTTTTTTTTTTTTTTTTTTTTTTATATATATGAAGCTTGTGGAATATTTAATTTATCATCAAAGTTTAAGTTGCTCCGAGGTTTCGTATTCTACGCCCAACTACGATTATTTTATTTAAAATAGAAATACACGTTTAAGCCAGAGGTTAGAGGTATAGTTTCCTTGTGAAGTACACGTATTATCACAATTTGGTTGATGCATAATGGCCATTTCTGTCATTACGTTCACGCTTGCTGGATAATGACATCTTAACACGTTAGCTTGTCGGGACGGTCTACTTTCCTTTTCGTTTAATTATATCAATGTTGGATGAATGTTGGCATATGTTCAGATAACGTGAGGAAGGAAAAGCAAATTGACACTGATGGTTCATGAATGTGAAATTAAAATACAAGCTTTAAATATGGGTTCATCTCAATATAATTTCTAGATTACTTACATAGTAATCCATAACACGATACTTCATACGTTACATCTTTATATCTTAATGCCATTTACCTCCGTTTTTGTTTTGTATTGCTTGTTTCTTATATATTTTTAAAATCATTGGATTTTTCCAACAATTTACAAACTTTCATTTTACATGTTGGTTCGTGCGTCGACATGTGTTCATTACGATGCTACGTTAAACGATTCTGATCGACGTTGTCTCTGATTATCTGTGTATCATTTTTTATGATTTTAAACGCAACAAAGTCCTACACATGATAAATCCAGTATCTTCTTTCTTCTAAGATACTTGACCTAGATCTTACACTGTGTTATTGTATTGTTGTATCATTCTTTTACACTTTAATCACTCTGGAGCGTAACAAAAAATGTTCGTCTTATTGTGATTTGGTACTTTCTTTCATTCACATATTTCATAGGAATCGTTCTCCCGCATTCTATTCGCATCCTGATGCGCAAAATAGTTTTTGTTTAAACATTTGAATAATATATGTTTGGTGAATTAACGTCTGCCCCCACCGTATATTGGTTTGACCATCTGTACATAACTAATGAAGTTTTGACTTGCCAGTCCAGAAGCGAGGCTCCCGATGATGTGCAATTTATATATATTGTATTATGTATTAAGTGATTAATGATGGTTTATTATTTATTAAAAGAGTGAGGAAAATCTAAATAGGAAACGTGTATATGTCCTGTATTTTAATTAGTATGAGTACGCTATTAATAATGTAAATGTTGATTGTGAGGTAATGCTCGATGGTTGATGATGGTTCAATGAAGCGTGAATAGCTGTTGTTTAATTGATTGAATGATTGATTGAATAATTGATTAATTGATTGAATGAATTATTAATTGGGTGAATGGTTGATTGTGTTATGTTGGATCTCGCGTACACCTTATCTTATTAAAAGATAAGGAAAAGATGAAAAATAAGGAAACACTGAGTCAGAGAAATATTTTCCAGAAAATATCAGGCATATTAAACACAGACTCTTTGAATCGTTTTCATCTTTTTTCATACGACATTAATCCTAACAGGTGGAAGGGAAAGTGGAACAAAGTTGATTTTTTTTCCCGATACGTATTTCTATACAATTCTTTCCCCCTCTCTATTTTTGTTTATACTTAACCCGTATTTTCTCTCTTCCCCCTCTCTGTCTCTCTGTCTCTCTCTCTCTCCTCCCTCCCCCTCTCTCTCTCTCTCTCTCTCTCTCTCTATAATTATATATATATCTTTCTCCCCTCTCTCTCTCTCTTTCTCCTCGCTCTTTCTCTCCTCTCTCTCCTCTCTCCCAATCTCACTCTCTCTCCCCCTCATCATATCCGCCTGTTTATAAATTTCTCTCCTTTATCTCTCATTCTTCTATTCCCTGCTCTATTCCCAACATTCTCTATTCTCAATATATTTTCTTTATTTTCTTTCTTAATTCTTGAATTCATCGCACTCATACCGATAAGTACTTTTTTCCTCAGGTTGTTTGCAAGCCTCATTTTTTAAAATGAAAAAAAAAAGTTCTTCAAGTCATGTGTTCACTTCTCATGTATGTTTGCAATTTAATTGGAAACCATCAAAATCTATTTTAACTAAAGAATGCAAGCGTTTCCAAAATATTACGAAACTGCAAAATCTCCAAAAAATAAAATGTAAGCTCATTTTAGAATGACGTATTGTTTGTGATATGTGCCATGTTTGTCAGTGAACTTTAAAGTTTAGTAGCAAGAAAAGTAGGTCATTCGAATACAAACTTTCTGATGATGGTTGAACTGTGAGAAAAAGTGCGAGGTTTACCTGAACCCTAATGCAATATTCCATTAATGCTGGGGTATTATTAACAAGTTTGATAATAACCGCCATTATTGAAAATTGGCGGAGCTAATGAAAGCCGGCCTAAAGCTCGAAAACGCCTTACTAAGCCCTTAATTGAAGCCCATGTTATAAAAGCGCTTCTGAAGTCTGCCCATGCCTTTTCCTCTTTGCTGTCATATTTCCCTTTCTCTTTTTTCTCTTTTCTCTCTCTGCCTTCTCCTATACACTCTCAACTTTTCTCCCCTTGTTTATTCTCTCTGTTTCTCCCTCTCCCTCTCTTTCTCTCCCTCTCTTTTCCCCTTCTGCCTTTATCACTGTCACTCTCGTATACACCGAGTAAGCTTCCTAACAAAAATTGCAATTTGCACTCACATTTGATATCAGTTTAGACAACGCACTTTTTTCAGTTGGCCAAAAGATCATCTAGCTCATCCCCTCATCTTGAGTAGCAAGCATACAGTTAGGAAGGAAGAAAAGCACCGGAATGAGAGATACAGAGAGAATGAAAGGGAGGAGGAGATAGACAGATAAACGAGAGGAGATATAATTGTTTTTGAATTTTAAGCCCTTGCGCGCATCTCAATTCTGATGCAATTATTGAAGCTCCCCCATACACGGTCGACCAGAAAAAACAAAGTGAAGTGATGGGCGTTAGAAATGCAGAAATGTTTCGAGTTGTAAGCTTTCAATTTTCAGACGCCCCAGGCATAGGTTTTGCCATTTCCACAAATCTATTTTCAAGGAAGGATAGGAAAGGGAGCAGGAACGGAGATGGGGGGAATAGAAAGAGGGAGAAGGGGAAAGAATAAAGCTTCACCGCTTTGATTTTTTCTTCCTTTTTTTTGGCGGGAGATCCTAGTGGTGAAGCGCAGACGAGAAAAAGCCCGCGCAATTAGATCTAATCTCTCCTATATTGGCGGAGTTAAATAAAGCTGGCTGCCTTCGCTTTCAAGCACTCCCCAAACTGAACGAGAGTGAGTGAGTGAGAGAGAAATGAGGGAAAAAAGCAGGCAGTTCCTAATTGAGACCCGGCA